ACACGAGGGTCCAGAGCAGCCCATCAGATTAGTTAAAAAAAAAGTCGATGGCCAGAAATACTCGAGCATGTAAGATTAAGGTTAGTTTGATTCAATTAAATACACATTAGTGTGTAATTAAACAAATCTGACGATTTGAGCGTGATATAAAGCAGTGCGAGGGTCACAAAGTTAAAAAAAAACCCATAACCTTGTTTTTTTTAAGCAAATAATGCAAGAAGTCTTCTTTAAATGTCTACATAATTTTTCGTGTCTTTATTTGTCATATTTTATAAAAAATCAAAATACTTCTAATCGTCAGATTAATAATACCCTGCGTAATTATAGTTAGATTTTTGGCCAGTATGACAGGAACATCAAGTTGAACCATCTGTATAAAATCTAACACGGGTATTTCGATACGGCAATTTTTCGAATATGCAGTTTGCATTTTCGATAATTCGTGACGACGGGATGTTATATATTCAATTTAAAAATTAGGTCACTACCAAATTTGAACAAAAACTATAAAATCATCGATGCGCAGTAATCGTGTAAATATTGGTTATGTTGCTGTTGAGCTTCTGCCTATGAGCTCTAGTGGACGGGAGGTAATCGCGTGCATTCGCCACCCCTGCATTCAACTACAAAAGCTTGGATGAGGATATTTATTTAACCCCAACTAATATTGTCACTATGAATGCGAGTTTATTTACAAAATTTCATATTGCATACCTGTACGTTTTAAAAGATACAGGGTTTATGGTTTGGAGAAAAACTTTGGGTTACCCTATAATCTGAGAAAACTACTGCTCCCAGGGCAGTTTAAATTAAAGACAGCCGGTAAAAATGTTTTAAATTACAATTATTTTACACATTATAGCACTTTCTTGAGACATTACAAAAGAGTCCATGAAGTTAAAAACTACGTCATACAAGAAAGAATAACGTTGAGTTATATACATTATATTTTTAACCGCCTGCCAAGAAAGGATAATGTTTTTCTCATATAATAAAGAAATTTATAATATATATATTTCTTTATTACCTTGTATCCAAATGGCTGGATGGATTTTGACAGTTAAGGTAATGTTGAAAATCCTAAGTGTCCTTCAATGGCTTTTTGATGGTAAAAAAACAAAATGACTTATTTTTGATGTCAAATATTTATACCATATAAATATAAAAATTTAACCAAACCTATCGAGTAGGGTATCAAAATTAAGAAAATTATAAAGAAGATAAAAAAAATATCTGAGTTATATATTTCATTAATACCAAATATATATATTATATATATATATATATATATATATAACTTGCTTTAAAAAGTTTTTATAGCGTAAAAATGGAACATGTTTGTGTCGAACCGCGCGCTTTTTTGGTCTTTTTGGTGCACTACTTTTAAATTGTCTTTTTGCAGTCGGGTTTTTGTTTTTTTTAAATTATAAGTTTTTGGATTATGTTACTTCACTAGATAAATTGGCAAGAAAATCATCTATAAACTCTTTACTACCAGCCTGAGGCAGCCCTGTCATTTGGGTATTTGCCTGCTTGAAAATGTTTTAAGTACCTTTATTTCATTTTACCTACTCGTATTATCCATTCTGTGCTATAACTATCTTTTGATGTTCAGATGATGATTATTGAAACATTCTAAATACTTTTTTAGGCTTTCTATCAACAATTATTTATTAGTATTTGAGTATTTGTTGGTTGCGGTCCTTCTATTGATAACATACATTACCGTTACCCATTAAGGTACTAATTATAACTAACAAATAAAATCGGAACTGTATAATAAAAAAATTCTCATGAGTGAAATGGTAATGATTGATATGATATATATATATGTAATATTTGATAATACAAAAAAAAAATCACTTTTTCAAAAAATATTTTAATGAAAAAATGGGAACTATCAACTCCCTCGTCTTAGTGACTTATTTCACTATTAAGAAATATACACGTACAAGATTTATTAGTTACCTATATTTGAAAAGTAATTTTAAGTTTATTTTATATCACTTAACGCTCTAGGGTAGTATAAACAACCAATTGATAACTCCGCACGTTCCTGAGAAGAAGGATCTTTACAAAGGCACAGACGAACAAGAACATTACCCTATAAGGACTCGTATTCCTTTTCAACCACGGAAATAAAAAATGCCTTTTGTGTAAAAGGTAAGGCTTGAATGTAAGGTCTTTAAGTGATCTCTGAGTACGCCAAAGATAAAACTTGATCACAAAACCTTACCACACATCAGTCCGTGTGGTTATAAATTATTTTATTTCCTCTATATCCATATATAACGATTTGTTTTCACATTTTTAGTTCAACCGAACAGCTAGCATTGCATATAAAACAAATACACTAGTCTAATAGTAAATAGCAAATTAGGTAGCGTGAAAGTGCTATTTTAATTATGTTATTTTCAGGGGCCAATACGAAAATACACATTCAAAATATTTTCCTTCTCGGTGTATTTTCTACGTATTCGTTAGATTTTTCCACTGCAATAATGAACGTTACACGAAATTGACGAAAATTTTGATCAATTTAAAGGAGTTGGGTGAATAATTTATGCAGCTATACTTGTTTTGGTTAGGCATCACATTTTAAAAAGTTGTAACATAATAATTTATTACTTACAACATCATGTTTAAAGTTCATAAAAAAATATTTTAGCGCCTACGTAGAATAACATGGCATGCAATAACATGACAGTGTGATAATATAGGATTTGTATCTTCTAAAACATCAAAGCATTTTTGAAAGCAAAATGCTTACAGAAACGTATCATCGTCTTATTAATTCAAGCGGCTGTATGTAACCGTCCGATGGTTGGTGGGACCTTCTTACTAATCCTAATTACAGAGACAAAATAATGCAGCATTTTTATACATGAAAGTGTTAAGTTAGCCTCTCTACACTGTCAGTTAATAAACGGGCTGCTATGCCCACGACACAAAGCTGTCTCTATGTTTTTTAAAGATTATCAAGAAGATCAGTCAATCAGAAAATTAGTCGAATTGATCCTTTCAGGACTAGAATTCCTTTTCACTCATAATCCAAATCCATTAAGGATTCAACTGTCAGAATAGATAAAAAAATATCCAGAAACTGGTTTCATTCCCAATGAGAAAAACTGGAAACCCTTTCATTGCAAAGTTTTAAAACAAATAAATTAGAATAACTAAAGGTATATAGGTCAACTAAGTAGTAAATAAATATAAAACTTATTACATCTAATTCATCTTGCGGGATGCTAACATAAATACCTGTACATAAATAGTTTATATCCTGGCCTGTTGGTCTATTGGGTAGTGACCCTGACTGATACGCCAGAGGTCGTGGGTTCGATTCCCACCCAGGGACAAATAATTGTGTGATGAGCACATCATTTGTTCTGTGTCTGGGATGAACGTGCATTTGCACATACATATTTTGGATAAAGTGCACTTTTTCTAAAATAAGTATGTATTTAGAAATATATAAGTATGTTTACAGCTATATTTTACCATAGTATAGACTCTGCTTAGTTTGACATCAGACGGCCGCATGTGAAATGTCTTAAAATATTATTATTATTTTATCTAAATATTTTCAAAGCACGAAAGTGAAAAATAACTTTTTCAAAGTTATATTCTCCGGAACTTTGTTGTTGAGAATTCTGTAATTTTTGTGAGCTGAAAACTATTTCCGCTTGCACCCGTAATTATTTACGAAGATCTATTATAATCTGCAAAATAGTTTATTGTGTTCTATGGAAATTTTTCATTCATTAACTATCTTAATAGTTTACGGCTGGACACAGGCCTCTTCGTAGAAAGGTTTTGGCCTACTATACCACGCTGCCCAGACGGGTTGGCATAGATGGAGTTTTTTTTCAAGTTTTCCTTCCCTTTGCAGTGCTCTTATCCTTTATAGTTTGCTACCTTAGTCGGCTCTTACGTTACCCATGGGAAAAAAAGGGGTGGTGACACTCCGTATTCTTAATCCGTCATCACACGGCTAATTCTGTGTAAATGAGGTATAGAATTATTGAATATTTTATTGAGGAGGATTATCGTAAGTAAAATAAGTTATTAATTTTCAGACATGACAACCTTAATTATTTATTGTAAGTATAGATAATAAATACAGCGGTACTTTATTAGCTCGGTAGAAGAGCACCGATGTGTCACAAATCCTGCGACAGGCGCGCTTCGCATCAAACACGGTTCGCTTTGTTGAGAGAAATCAAAAATAAACTGCACTGACAATCGCTATATCGATGGCCTATTTGTGCGAATATCGTATTTCCATCATTCTGTAATTAATGTTGATTTGATAATTTATATTACTTTTTCTTGCATACTAAATAAACATGGAGTTAAGTTACCAAAAAAATATGTACAGAATTATGTATATGTCATCGGTTTGAAATTAAGTATCGATGTCTATCTGCCATTTGGTTAGGATCTCTTTGTGATTTAAATGGTTTGTGATTTTAGGGTAAATATCTAACTGATTTATGATGTAAACTAAGAGCATATCTAAAATAGTTACAAAAATAGTTGCGTTCACTTAGTAATTTACCCTTGTAATATCAAGGCGCCTTAACATGTCAATGGGCGGGTGTAGGTATGTACAATTTACTTATTGTATATCAAACGCATCATTGGTTTTAACATTCAACAATAATTGAATATATTTCTGATGTCATTATTAACTACGTTAAAGTTAAGTAAGTATGAACATCGATCTTAAATGCATTTTACTTATTGACCTACATGAGGAATTAAACATAATCCTTTATATTGACCCACAATGTGGTAATATGCATGATAAAATTTATTTGTATAATTACAAGCTATAAAACCGTTGCCACCTTTTACTCAATATTGAGCAGTCACTGTAAATCTTACTTAACGGTGGTACAATAAAAATGCCTACAGATTATGTTTTAAAGAAAGGCGAGTGTTGGCACGCGAGCCTATAGGAGGTGGCAAGCGGACCTCAAGTAACAATTACTTGGTCATGCGAGCAGGCCATCCATCACCCACTTGCCCTGTGCCACTGGCAATGGCCACTCGGTTCCTACTCTAAGGCAATTTCCGGAGCCCTTATCTACCTCAACTTGCAAGCATTTACTTGGCTGGGTTTGTTTAACAGAATTAATCCAGTTGACAAGGATCTTTGGCAAGGCTGTACCTTGTTTGTTCTCTTGCTGTTTTAGTTTCACATCGACGTTGTCGTGGCCTGTCTTGGCGCACGTTCGGTTACGGTACATTTCTCGAGAGCGTCATCAGAATAATCATTTTGTATTAAATATTTATAAGCAAATCTAGAGAAGCAAGTTATAACCAGATTAATTAAAAATACACAAGAATGAGTTTCAACTTATTTTAAAGCCAACTGTTTTCCGGGAATAAAAATGCAACATTATTATTAAATTATTTTCATAAGCGAGGTCTTAAGCCACGCAAAGCTACCACACTGTGCATAATTCTTTAATAAGTAATAGCCTTTTGAAATACTGCGACACCGTTCATATTTTCAGTAGAATTTATAGGAAGTGAGCAGCGCTCGGCAGTTTCGTCGGCTCGTTTAATTATTTTCTCTTGTTTACACAAGATTGAGATTACACCCTGAGTAATATAGTGCTAATGAAAAAGTATGCGACTAACACGCACACTTCATTTAAAAGTCGGTGATCATTATTATATTATCACTTAAGTTTACATATTAATTACTGACTTGTAGCGTTCACTGGTTTAATTCGTTATACAGAGTTAAGATTAATAAAAATAAATAATCTGGTCGTTCTTTAAATCATATTATTGTCTTTATATATGTAAATTTTGTTTTACATAGATGATTTAATAATTTTATTACACTTCAAACAGACTAGAGGGGACTATTGCTATTATAATGCTTCCTGTTATATTGAAGTTTTTTTATTATTATTTTATCACTGATTTTTTATTATTTTCTAATTTTTATTTATTTTATTTTTATTCTTCATGCAATGTTGTACAGTGGTGGATATAATGGCACAGGCATTTTCTCCCAGTCTACCTTAGGGTGGTGCTGAAATATGTGACTAGGTGCACTATACATTTATATGTAAAGTAAGAGAAAATTATTAAAATGCTATAAATATACATACATACGCACGTAACAAATAGATACACATACATAAATACTTACCTAGTTACATACATACATAAGCCTACATATTAATAATATATAAAACTTTAAGGTTGTAATGAATCTGCTAGGGTGTCCAGTATGCGAGCTCGAACTTTCATCTTGAACGAGTGGCGGCTGGGTGCTATCCTGATTTCTAAAAAGAGAGCGTTCCAGATTAGTACAGATTGGATTAGGTAGGTACGAGGAGGGGACACAACCAGAAGTATGAGTGGGGCATAGCAGAAGAGGTTTTTAGTGTAAGATATGTTCGTAATGAGTAGATAAGTACGAATTTTAAAACACTACGTACTGTAATGTATATTAAAAAACTTTAGAATGTTATAAGTATATTAAATATAGTGTAATAAGTCCGTTACTTTATTTAGATAAGGCAGTAAGATGTTAGATTTGAACTTGAAAATAATTTTTTGCACATTATTTAATTTTCTTCACATTTGTCTGGAACCAAAGGGAAATATACCGTTCCAAATAATATAAGAATTTTTCAAATCGCTTTACAAATGAAAGAGTTTTGAGGTCACAAACCTGAAAATAATTGTGTGACAAACTTTTTTTATTGTCTTAATGTTTTGTAATCTCATATATTACTATTTTATGTACATATCTCCTTACCTAACACAAACACCTAATACATATCTCGAAAGAATAAAACAAGGTCAATTACTATTAACTAATGATTCTATTTTTAAAATAGTTATCCTATAACTCCTAAAGACAAAACGACTACTGAACGCAATTATCTATTTAGCTAGAGAAACAAGCAAAACCCTAACTCTCAAACTTTACAGCCAACGTGTTGTCGGAACTGTAAAATTTGAGGATTTCCCTCGATTTCTCGAGGATCCCACCATCAAATTCTGTTTTGTGGTAATTGAACCACCTCGATAGTAAAAATAATTTAAAAAAAAAAGAATTTTCCAATTTTTTTTACAAATAAGTAAGTTTGAGTGAGATGAAATATGCAAATAATTGTGTAACAAGCATTTTTTTCGTCTAAATGTTTTGTAATTTATAATTCTTGTGCACATATCTCTGTAACTCAACACAAACACCTAACAAATATCTTGAAACAAAGTCAATACATGATTAGATTCTTGAAAGAGTTATCCTCTTACTCCAAGTCCGGTCAAGGATCCTTCCATCATTAGCTCAGCAACGTGACAGCAATTACTACTAAACGCAAAAACCTATATAGCTAGAGAAATAAGCTGAAACACGTTGTCGGAGCTGTAAAATTTGTGGGTTTCTCTCGACTTCTCCAGGATCCCATCATCAGATCCTGATTTGGTTTAAATGGAAATGCCTCGGGAGTATACCCTTTCGATTACAATTTTATTTTTTAAATCATAACAGAAAAAAAAAAACAGCCGAATGGATAACCTCCTCTTTAGTGTTTTTGAAGTTGGTTAAAAATTGAAACTACATAAATGATAAGTATAAGACAGCAAAATGAAGTATTGATGCCGAAACTAAAATGTTAAGAACGGTTGTACAAAATGTGACGTACATGGAGCATAAAATATCATGTGCAACGAATATTGCTGACACACTTAAACAACTTTGTAGGGAAAAATAAAATTGGTAGTGACTACTTTAATTAGCTATCAAATTAGCTATATGAAGTTGTGATAGATAAGTAGTGCAATTATTAACTTCCAGTGCATGGGTTGGCATACAGTTTCATCCTTAGTTATGCACATAATTTGTCTTTTTTTATGACATAGGGTGCAAATGAGCAGACGGTTAACCGGACGGTAAATGACTACCACCCGGTCATGGAATAAGTAAAACTCAACAGTTCCGCCTTTAACTACCTTCACTCCGAGATTAGTTTTCTGTGAGGCCGTAGTATCATGACTCTCCCACGGTGGCTTCTGTCGTTTAAGAAGTCTAATAACACGCACTAGGCCAACATGGTGTCCATTATCCAATCTTAGAAACAAGGCTGATATCGATGGTTAGGTTTAACTTTATATCAAATAAATATAGGTAAAATATAGGTATTAATTAAAATAAATCACATTTTTTTTTACTATAACATATAATAATATATAATAATATAAAAAAAAAATTATTAACATGCTAAAGAGAAAAAGATTTTTTGTTTTTCTATATTTGATTAGACATGCTAATCTTTGGAGCTTTACTCAGATATAAATAATTGTTAGGGGGCTTAGGCTCAACAGGGCAGTGACTATAAAAGCAGGTGAAAGTGCAAGGAATCACAATTTAAAATATAACTAGAATATTTATACAAAAAAGTTTTAACCTTACCATGTTATGGTAATCGAAAACTCTACAATAAAAAGAAAGAAATAAACTTGAATGTTGAAATCGTTATTGTTCCACTTACAAGTGAACTTCGGCAATCGAAAACAATAACAGACTGAAAAGATTCCAGAACATTCATTGAAAAGGAAAGTTTTATAAAAGCAATCGCCGATAACAGTAAGTGCAATTTTAAGGTCGGTCTGGGCATTCTTTACAAGTTTCTCTTTTCATTTCATTGTGTTTTGACTTTGTTTAGTGAAATGGTTTAATTATGAGATGTGTAAAGTTATTATTATTATTACTAGCTGAACTGATAAATTCATTAGTCGTATAACTAGCTGGTACCCGCGACTTCGTTTGCGTGGAATTTGAATTGAAAATGTTATTAAGGCCTACGGTTCGATTCCCGAATCACGCAAAATTTTATAGGGTTTTTGTGAGAGGGAAAATAGCCTAAGTTACTTCTTGTTTAGACAGCTATCTTTTAGTAAAATATTATCAAAATCGGTCCGCCTGTTTTAAAGATTACCTGGAACAAACAGATAGACAGACAGACAGACAAAAAATATTTAAACTGGTTTTTACTCATGGGTATCGCACAAATAACTGTGTGAGCATGAAAAAAACCTCTTCTTATGACATTAGAAACAGACGCTTCAATTTTATTTACTTGTATAGATGTGCACTATAATAACACGTCTCAAAGGTCCTCCTATACTACCTGTTATTACATTACACATTAAAGCGTTTTTAGCAATAGTACCCACATATTATAATAATAACAATATAATAATATTATTATTATAGTGTGAACCATGATTTACCAACAATTTATAATATATGTGATAGGTATCCTGTATAAACATAGGATCAAAGAATAAAAGGATTGTGAAGTGCAAGAAAGTTATTAAATAAATAAATACAGTCATTAAATCCATGTATTTAGGCGATTGTAACCTCGTTGATGTTACGTTAAATTACCCGTATAAAACGGTTCTTAATGAAACTTTTTACGCCAAAACTCCTTGTGATTTTAAACAAGAGGCAATTTGTAACGGTTGTACGTTTTGCTTCTTATCGCGCCAAACGTAGAATATTATAAAATGTCGCAATAAAGTAAATAAAGAGGCAAATGTACATACTCAAGGAGTGAAATAATCATTTTTGAAGCTTATATGTTGAATATAAAGTCGGGAATGGTCTGAGCATGAAACACATAATGCTGAAGCAGCCCTTGTGAGAAATATTATGAAAACAAATTCGCGTTGAGCACGTTCAGTGTGCAAGTAATAAATAAGAGAGCAAAAGTAGCTGGTAGACGGTGGAAGCGGGCCACGAAATGGCATTGTTTAAATTGTATTAGGCAGTTAGCCAGCGGGAAAGACAACACATAAGCTTTTGACATAAGAACTAAATTAGATAGTATACTCCAACGAAGTATGACTAGATAAAAGTAGACACATACCTAATCCATTAGCTCAAGCATTGAATACTCTGAATGTTGGCGGCTTAAGTTTAGCATAATTTATGTGATCACTACGATGAGTAATCGCCTTAAATATGATTTATATAGTTCGTCATATTCGCATCTTATACGAGGGCTATGGTAGCTTCATGTTTATAGTTCATAACTTTTTGTTATGTACTTACTAAAATCCCCACAAATTTGTCCATATATTGAACCTATAGTATTCCATTATATTGAGTTCAGACAGTCTGCATGTTCTTCATTAGACATACAAGCATACAGGAAAGGCGTACTTTATCACCTGGAACTTTTTTAAGGAAGAGGGGGCAACCGAGCAG